CTAAGTGTTGAACACCTGGTCTGTACAACTGGATATTTTCTATTATTTATAAATGTTTTAACTAAGTGCTTGTTATGAATGCTTTGAATGGATGTTATGATTGGTTATATGTTTTTGAAATCTGCTCAATGAATGAATGTTTCTGTTTAACATCTGCTACATGATTGAGTCCAAACTGTGATGTACATTGTAAATGAATACACTGATAATGTTTCTGATGGGACGTACTGCTGGTTCCAAAACTGATACTCAATCTTGTGATGACAAAAAGGGGGAGAATTGGAATTGGATTTGGTTTAACACTGATAGTATAGAGTAACTAGTTAGGGAGAGGCAGTCTCAGGGGGAGTTGAGCTGGATCAGCACTGATGATGTGGATTGCGTTTCTTCCTATATACTACTCATGCACTTCGTTAGGGGGAGCTGTTATATTTTGTGCTCTATCCAATTGTTTTGTCATCATTAAAAAGGGGGAGATTATTTATCTCAATTCATATCTTTTGATGATTACAAAATAATTGGATGTTTCTAATGCCTTTTGTAGAGATTCTTTTCAGAAATGAACCACACAGGTCTGTGGATTTAAAGCAGAAAAAGAAGATCAAAAAAGAATGAAGTCTGCTGAGGATGATGTCGGACGCACAAAAGGAGAGTATCGGACGTCCGACATTCTTTGAGTATCTTCGGACGAGTAAAGAACTCAGACTCGGACGTCCGAAGAAGACAAGCCAGGAGTTACTCGATTACTGATCAGGTTTGGACGCTCAACACCTGTGTATCGGACGTCTGACAAGTGTTGCTGCTCTTCGGACGCAACACTCTGGACGCATCGGCCGTCCGAAGGAATTGAAGAAGAAAGTCCAAGTATTCATCCTACCCTCGGACGCATGATCGGACGTCCTAAGGGATTCAAGTAAACTTCCAGAACTCATTGATCTCGTTCGGACGCATAAAAACCAAACATCGGACGTCCGACAGCACCAACGGCTAGTTGACTCTTCAGTTACCTTCTACCCGTTGACAGCATTAATTGAGGAACTCTCTGGTCTCCTATAAAAAGAACAAAGTCAACCACCTCAAGAGAACTTTTTACATCAAGCCTACATCAGATTGTGAGTGATTCGTGTGCTAGAATACTCAAAAGGAACATTTGTACTCCTTGCTTGTGCAATCTTCGTGCAGTTTTTCAAGTGTGACATAGCTTCTTCAATAGTGTAGCATAGTGAGGGTTTGCGAGTGTTTGTAAAACTTCCTTGTTTGACCAAGTGTGGTTTGGGGTAAGAAAGAAGTGATCCCTTCCTTGTACACAAAAGATTGGTTGCAAGTCTGTTCAACTTGAAGTAACTTGGTATATAAAAGTGGTGTTCAAACCTCAGTTGTGTTTGAAGCCTGGTTTGTTTCTTTACTTTCATTTACTGCTTTTCTACATAAACTATTCTTCTTTTCATCTCACGAATACCTGTGCTCTTGTGTTATCTTGTTCATTGGGAGGTATTTGAGAAAAGAAAGGTTGTCTGTGAAAAAAGTAGAATATATCTTAGCAGGTTTTTTGAAAGCCTAATTCACCCCCCTCTTAGGTTGTCTTCGATCCTTACAAGATTATTTTCTGGAAGTATGTGTTATTTGTTTTGGTTTAGATTGGACAGATTATGAGCTATGTGTTTAGTGTTTCAAGCAAGTAAAAGATGGAGATTTGATGGATATCTTGAATTGACATTGCTGGATTTTTTTTTCTTGGTTGTCGAAAGAAGGAAAAAAATCTGAATTCCTAAAGTTGTTTATGAGTTAAGCTAACCGTGACTTTCTTTTATGTTTTGAGTTAAATTTCTGGTTGATTGTTGTAAGGAATGAATGTTTGATGCTAAGAGCTAATGATTGATGAAGCTCTTGGCCATTTGAGTAATTTTTACAAGAGTTAAATTTTTGGTGGAATTGTTTAAGTGGTTTGGCCGAAATGTACTTGTAAGGTCCATGATTTGTGGTTTGGAATTGTTTGGATGTCTTGGTTTTCTTTGTTTAATTTTGATTAGAATTGAATCTGTTGAGACCTAGGGCTAATGATTGATAAAGCTCTAGTGAAATTGATGTTTGAATTGTGATTTTTCTAAATTGGCAACTTGGGTTATAATGTGCAAATGAATTGGAATCGTGAAGTCCGTTTTGGTCCCTTGAATTCGAGTACTTTTGACCAAGCTTTGTTGAAATATTTTGTTCCAGTACTAAGTTATAGAAATTGAGTATAGTACGATAATGCTAAAATTTGAGTGTCGGGACTTTTAAAACCTTGCTAACTAGTTAATTCTTTTCTTTGTTTAAACTAGCTTTATTACCTTTAAGAAATAATTGCATTAACTTTCAAACTTTAAGTTTTTCGTAAAATTATCCCTGGCTAGTTGTTTTAGAGGAAAATTGTTAAAAACACTAGATTTTAATAATTTTAAATGAAAGGCATAGAGAACTTGTTCGGCAATAAAACTTGTTTGAATTTAATTGGTTCTAGTTGCACCTCTAGAAAGAAAAGTATCTCTAAAGAAACCCTACGAAATATTCTATCACTTTTATTAGTTTTAATTCTAAAAGGATTATTGATTTATTCCGAGGGAATAAACTAGTTATATACCAGATAATATTTTATATATAAACCAAGAGTTTGTATAGTAAAACTTATAATTTTTAAACTTGGTCTTTTAGGGTTTAGCGAGGACGTGGACTTCGATTCCCAGCTTGATTTTTGAGCTTCACTTTTGGTGAGTGTCCGTACTTGTTCTATGATTAACTTGTTAAAGTGCTTTCTTGACTTGTTATGTGATAATTGGGAAGTGGTTTTGCTGATCCATCGAAGTGGGCAGTGTGTACTTTATCGCATTAGCCCTTTCGAGTGATGATTTACTTGAAATGTTTTCTCGAAATCTTGCTTGCACTAGTTAAGTACTGAGTGGGGGAATGTACCACACCTGAGGGTGGGAGGGCTTCTTATCCTAACTCAAGTACCAAAACCTTGTAACTGTTGACTGGAACATGAACTCGTCAACTAAACCACCAGGCAGGGGAATGTACCACACCTTAGGGTGGGAGGGCCTCTTATCCTGACTTGGTAACCACTTGTGTGACGTCGTTGGGTGAATCCCTCGACTAGGCTATAAAAGGTATACTCGAGTAATACCAAACTCTCTCGTGAGAAGGACGGACCCGGTGGGAGTAAGTTGGTTGGAGCGTGTTAAGGAAAAATAACGAATCTACATGGACCTTAGATAGTGAGAGTTGACGGAGGGTCAACTATGATTAATTTTGATCAAGCTTGTGGAAAATGGCTCTTGAGAGCCCTGTATCCTACTCTGTGCTGTTAAACGCTTTCCTACTTCTTGAGTTTAAGTTTGGAGTTATTATTTGTTATTTGTCTTATGTGATTGCATGTTTGGGGCACCACTGAGCTTTAGCTCACCCCACGTTATTTGTTTTCCTGAACAGGTTTTGGCAATCAAGAGACTTGAAGTCTGCCTTTATCTTTTGTGAATGTTGTTTTGAATCAGACTATGTATCTTTTGTCTTGGGTTGTCACTTGAAGCTGAAAAAGTGCAAACCCTAAGTTTTGGCTTGTATGAATGTATTTGAACTTTATGATTTCACTTTGTGTTTTGTAATGTATAAATGTAGTTATGTGTTAAGCTGGTTGGAGGTGTACTTAAAAGTGAACGTTCAGACGTCCAATGGCAATGTTATCTCTGAAGTTAATGTGTTCCTAGTATTTTAGTCGTTTAAAGGTTTGGCTTGTTCGGGTGACGAATTTTGTTTTGGTTTAAGTTATAAGTGGAAAGGGTTTAGTTGGTTTCCTTGCGTGAGTCCTGGCGAGAGTTAGGCAGGCGACCCGCCAACCCTCTGGTTCGCCTTAGGGAGAAGTGGGGCCGTCACTGGTGGTATCAGAGCCAAGGTTAGAAAAATTGTTTGAAAGATATATTAGATATATTAGAAACCCTGAACCTTTTAAAAGTTAGGAAGTGAGTTGAGTAGACATACCTTAAGTAGTACTTGAGCAAGTTAGCTATTTAAGTATTAACTTTTGGATTCTTGGTTATTTTGCAGGTATGGAAAACGGAAACGGACATGCTAATGGACATGTAGAGCCTCTTAGGTCCATCTCCTATAGGCCACGAGGCGGGGGACCTCGTATACGTTATACACCAACTGATAGGTATCTCCGATGTCAGTGTAGGGACACATATGCCTACCCTAACGAGTTAGTGCTATCCTTAGACGACGAGCGTCACCAGTTGAGGAACGCTAATCACACTTTGACCCAGGACGTCAAGGAGTTGAGCATCATGGTTGATACTCAGCTTGATCGCATAGCTGAGCTCGAGCAGAGGTTAGCAGCCGAGAGGGTTAGGTCAGAGGCTGCTCGTGAAGAGTTAGGGAGACAGAGGTCTCGATTGACTCGAGTAGCTGAGGAGGTACGAGATAGGAGTGCGGGTATTAGGGCTGACGCTACTATGATGATAGATGAGGTCATAGGTATCATTCAAGGTACTGCTCAGGCGAGTGTTGAGGAGGACTCGGAGGAGGACCCGAAGAAGGATCCGGAGGAGGACCCTGAGGAGGACGTTGGCCTTGGTAGCCCTACTGAGGGTTAGACTAGGTTTGCTTTGCCTGTAAATAGGTATCCAGGGTTAGTTAGGGTGACACTAGTTTAGGTCATAACATTTTGTCTAACTAGATGGCCTACTTTTGAGGCACTATATCCCTATTTTTGGTTTAAGAGATTGTTTGTATATATTCGTTAACTTGTGTGCCATACTTTCGGAAGGCACCCTAACCTACTAGTTGTATGAACCTTGATGTGTGAATATATGTGTTAAGTGTTTTATTTTCCTTTTCCTTAATGTTCATGTTGATTTTACTTAAAAAATATACAAATAAATATAAAAATAAAAATAATAATAAGTAAATAAATAACAATATTTTCGCTTAATTGCTCTATTTATATCAATAGGCATAACTAGCCTATGGATCGACAAGTTAGAGGTAGAGAGCGTGGGAGATCAACTAGACAACACCCCGAGATTGGTGGTGATAGGGGATCTGAGGTCAGTCAAGACCATGGTCAAGGGAGCGTGGCTGGAGACCCAGTGGCCACCGCGATCAATAGAATAGCTGATGTCTTAGAGCGCATGACTGAGCACCAAGCCTTTGGACCAGTGCGTCACCCAGAAGGTCCAATCGATACTGAGGATCGGGCATTAGAGAGATTCTTGAAGTTTGGACCTCCTAAGTTCTATGGAGGACCAGAACCTGAGGTAGCAGAAGGTTGGTGGGAGAGGATCTCTGACATTTTTGCAGCTCTAACAGAGGAGAGACAAGTAACTTTCGCAGCATTCCAGTTCGAGGGAGTTGCTCGTTCCTGGTGGAACCTAATTAGGATCAATTGGGACAGGAACCATATTCCTAGGACCTGGGCGAACTTCACAAGGGAGTTCAACGCCAAGTTTCTACCCCCTCTCATCCAGGAGAAAAGAGAGGATGACTTCATCAAGAGTAGGCAGGGGATGGTGAGTGTCGTTGAGTATGAGATTCAATTCACGAAATTGTCCCGTTTTGCTCCTGAATTGGTAGCCACAGAGCAAAGACGTATAAGGAGGTTTGTGCAGGGACTAAACGTGGAAATCCATGAGGGATTAGCTGCTGTTCGAATAGACACTTTTGCTGATGCCGTAGAGAGCTCAGAGGGTTGAAGTTGCCAGAGCTCAAGTAAAATCTTTTCAGGCCAAGAAAAGATGTGGCCCTAGTAGCAGTCGGGAGCCGACTTATGCAAGTGCTCTACCGGCCAAAGTGGGTCGAGAAATGGGTGAAGTAAAAAGTCCTGGAGCACCACGAGGCGCTTTAGTGAGAGGAGTTGGGGCAAGAGGTGTCAGGGAGAGAGATATCGGAGCTAGAGGAGGACCAAGCGGAAGGGGTCAACCTAGGAACGCCTCGCAAGGAGGTCGTGTGACCACCCCTCAGGTAACTTGTAGGTATTGCAGGAAAACTGGCCATACCGAGGACGAATACTGGAGGAAAGAAGGGAAGTGCTTGAGGTGCGGAAGCAGCGAGCACCAGATTGCCAATTGTCCGAAGATACAAGAAGGTGGTACCCTGAGTACTAGTCAAGCCACTTCGGGAGGAAATAGGCCGAAAGTTCCTACCAGGTTGTATGCCATAGACGACCAACCTGTACCTGATTCCTCGAAAGTCGTCGAAGGTACTCTTCCGATCTTTCACCGATTAGTTAGAGTACTAATTGATCCTGGCGCAACTCATTCATTTGTGAATCCAACTTTTATGTCCGAAATTGATGAAAAACCTGTTAGATTACCCTTTGATCTTGAAGTTAGGACACCCATGGGTAATAAAAGCATAATTACTAGCCTAGTCTATAAGAATTGTGAATTCTGGGTTGGAGAACGTAAGATGCTAGTAGATTTAGTCAACTTGGACATAAAAGATTACGATGTTATCATAGGAATGGATTTCCTAATTCATTACCATGCTAAGTTTGATTGTAGAGCAAAAATGGTAGAATTTTGGATTTCCAGGGAAGCAACCCTGAAATTTGATGTGAAAGGCAGGTTAGCATCGTCTGTTGTGATCTCGGGAGTTCGGGCAAGGAAAATGTTGTATAAAGGAGGGCAAGGTTTCTTAGCTTTTCTGATTAACGCTCCCAGTGACCAAGTAAAGTTGGAAGATGTACCAGTGGTAAGGGAATTTCCAGATGTGTTTCCCGAAGAATTAAAAACATTACCCCCGGAGAGAGAAGTGGAGTTCAAGATTGAACTAGTGCCGGGAATGGCTCCGATTTCTAAGACTCCGTACCGAATGGCTCCTGCAGAGTTAAAAGAATTGAAAATTCAATTACAGGATTTATTGGGGAGAGGTTTTGTTAGAGAAAGTGATTCGCCATGGGGCGCACCTGTTCTATTTGTTAAGAAAAAGGATGGAAGTTTGAGGTTATGTATTGATTATCGAGGATTAAATGAATGGACAATTAAAAACAAATACCCTCTACCTTTGATTGACAGCTTATTCGACCAGCTGCAAGGATCAGTAGTTTTCTCCAAACTAGATTTGAGGCAAGGGTATTATCAGTTGAAAATTAAGAAGGAAGACATACCTAAAACTGCTTTTAATACAAGACATGGACATTTTGAGTTTGCAGTCATGCCATTTGGATTAACCAATGCACCAGCAGCCTTTATGGACTTAATGCAGAGAGTCTTTAAAAAATTTTTGGATTAGTTTGTAGTAGTCTTTATTGATGATATCCTAGTATATTCTAAGACTCGAGAAGAACATGCTAAACACTTGGAAGTAGTTCTGCAGATCTTAAGAGAGCATAAATTGTATGCTAAATTTAGCAAGTGTGAGTTTTGGCTGGATGAAATTTCTTTTCTGAGGCACAAAGTTTCTAAAGATGGGATTGCAGTGGATCTGGCAAAAGTTGAGGTAGTCACAATGTGGAAGCAGCCAGAAACTCCAACAGAGGTTAGAAGTTTCTTGGGTTTAGCAGGTTATTACAGGCGGTTCATCAAGGACTTTTCGAAGATTGCTGAACCTATGACAGAGTTGACAAAGAAAAGTAACAAGTTTATTTGGACTCCAAAGTACGAGTCAAGCTTTCAGGAGTTAAAGAAGCGCTTAACATCAGCTACTGTGTTGACATTGCCTGACGGAGTAGAAAGTTATGTCGTATACTCTGATGCCTCTAGGGAAGGTCTAGGATGTGTACTAATGCAAAAAGGTAAGGTAGTTGCCTATGCCTCTAGGAGATTGAAACCTCACGAACAAAATTACCCCACGCATGACCTAGAACTGGCCGCAGTGGTCTTTGCCTTAAAGAAATGGAGACATTACTTGTATGGTGTGACCTTTGAAGTTTATACGGACCACAAGAGCCTTAAGTACTTGTTCTCCCAAAAGAAATTGAATTTGAAACAGAGGCGATGGGTAGAATTTTTAGAAGATTATGATTGTTCTATCAACTACCACCCAGAAAAAGCCAACGTGGTAGCAGATGCCCTAAGTAGAAAGGCCCAAGTAGCGGGGTTAATGGTAAAAGAATGGGACATGTTGGAAGAGATTAGCATTTAGAACCCTCGCTTGGAGAGTTTGAAGATTTTATTTGGGAGCCTGTCGTTGAAATCACCATTACTGGACCGTATTAAGGAGGCACAGAAAACGGACCCTATGATCCAGAAAAAGTTGGAGAAAGTGCAAAACGGAGAAACCCTAGACTTTAAATTAGGGTCTGAAGGAGTGTTAAGGTTTCAAGATCGAATTGTGGTTCCAGTTGATGAAGGGTTAAGGAAAGAGATTTTAGAAGAATCACATCGATCGAGGTATACCATACACGCAGAAGTAAACAAAATGTATCACAATATGAAAGAGTTATACAGGTGGGACGGTTTGAAAAAGGACGTGGCAAAATTTGTACAAAAATGTCTGATATGCCAACAAGTAAAAGCTGAACATCAGAAACCCTCTGGTCTATTGTAGCCACTAGAAATTCCTGAATGGAAGTGGGAACACATAACCATGGATTTTGTAACGGGATTGCCTCGAAGTAAAAAAGGATTTGATGCGGTTTGGGTGATAGTTGACAGGCTTACCAAGTCCGCACATTTCCTACCTGTGAACGTGAGTTTTTCTTTGGAAAAATTGGCCAAGTTGTACACAGAAGAGATCATGAGATTGCATGGTATTCCTATAAGCATTGTGTCTGATCGTGATCCAAGATTTGTCTCACGTTTTTGGCAAAAATTTCAAGAGACATTGGGGACCAAGTTGAAGTTTAGTACCGCTTATCATCCACAAACGGACGGGCAGTCAGAAAGGACAATTCAGACTTTGGAGGATATACTGAGGTCGTGTATATTGGAGTTCGGAGGTAAATGGAGTTAGTATATGACCTTAGTAGAATTTGCCTATAATAACAGCTATCATACCTCAATTCAAATGGCCCCTTACGAGGCATTGTATGGAAGAAAGTGTCGATCTCTGATTCATTGGGATGAAATGAGAAAGAAGAAAATTTTAGAACCAACGGTTATACCTTGGATGGAAGATATCGCGCCCCATTTTTAAAATAAAGAAAAATAAAAACGAGTTTAGAAAAAATGACTTTTGATTCGATTTTTGATTGGAAAATGAATTTTTGATTATGGAAAAGCATGGGTCTAAATGGGACTTGAAAATGCGACGATTTGACCCAAAATGTAGTTTAAAAAGGATTTTTTTAATTAAAAATGGAGTCGCCACTTGGTATAGAGTTCAGGTGTACCAAGTCACCTAAAAATGAATTTTAAAGGAAAAAAGTAGAAAACCCTTTTTAAACGACTCCAAATCTACAAAAATCAGAGAAAAAGATTCGGGAGTCACATTTGAAGAAAGGGAAGGCAAGGATAAGAATCCAAGGCACCCTTTCAACCTAGCCAAGGCTAGTTGCGCGATTTAGTCAAAGATTTTCTTATTTTAACCTAAAGATTTATCACATTTGGATGTTCTATATGAATGCAAACCCTAGACCTAGGAGGGTATCGGGGGGTCAAAATGTATCTTCAAATCTTATTTGGTACCAATCACATTAATTGTGATGCCCAATAAAGACTCTTCGAAGAAGTCACGAATAATGCAAGTCATGAGACTCGAAAGAAAGGAAAAGTGAAGAATATAATAATATACAAATGCGTATGACCTAGAGGAATGCATCATAATGGGTGCGGGGACTTACACTTGTGACTTTCAATGTTCCCTTTAATAGAGGGAATACGAGCGTGCTAAGGCTAGAAAAAGCCAAACTCGTCCATATCCCATATCCAAGGGGTTTTTCCTAGTCTAATCAAGCAAATGTACTAGCCTAGGTCTAATGCTTAGATGAAATGCAAGTCTAATGTCATGTTTCATACAAAGGGGTAAGTAATATACATATAAGGAAAAATATGAAATAGGGGATATAAATAGAAGGGAATATGGGATAAAGGATGTACATAAGAAAGTGTCATGCAATATGGTAAAAACCCTAAAAGGTGAAAAACATGCATGAAATGTAGTGATTCACACAAACATGATCTAGCGTAGGAGGTCCCTAAGGGTCTAGCGTTGGATTAGCCCATATCTATGAATTCCTACTAGCATTGGACTAGTGGAAAATCGAAATGCAGGGCCACAACTAGCGTTGGACTAGTGTGGTGACGTCACACATTCATTACAATCAAATAAATCATGTAAAGCCTAATAAAGCAAATAGACACATAAATCACATATATCACATAACACATAAGCATGGTGTCTAGATGCAAGACCCTAGGAAAGCGAGTAACACATAACACATAAGTATGCAAAAACACACAATGCAAATAAAGCAAATAAAGCCCTAACTATTACATTCGGGGAACCCTACTACAATCTAAAAGGGAAAATAAAATAAATAATAAAAAAGGAATACCTAACTATTACAAATTTGGCATTCAAGTGCCTTTCAAATGATAGATATAAAAAGCTAAAGCCAATAAAGCAAATAAATAAATAAATAAACATCCAAGGGGCATGCAATTAAACACGTAAAGTCACATAGGGCACGTAGGGTCAAATAGAGTAAGAAATAAGGGATAGGGTGTACCTCCTTTGATTTGGAGCCCCAATGGAGTGAAATTACTTATTTACCCTCCAAAATAATAAAGGAGTGAAGGCATCACTTTAA